TTTATACTTTTGATAATTTAGTAAATAAATACATACCCTTAAAAGTTTTTAAGTGTTGAAAAAGTTTAGTGGGCTCCCACACAATTTGCTTTTCGGAATTAAACATCAAGTGTCGACGAGCAAGAAAGACGAGACTCCGCAGGATACTTGTACAGGAGATCACAACGTTTACCACATTTCTTGAGGGTCCCTGACCATCTTTGTTGACAAACCGTCATCCAAAAGTCGTCAAACAAGGTATGATAAAGCTGTTGTCTGTTCGGCCATTTATATGTTGTTTGATTGGTTTCCGCTGGCATTTGGGGATGAAAATTGAGCTAGTCCTTTTGTGGCTTTCCTCTAAAATGATACAAAACTCCCACCACCCATTCTTTAAATCTACTTCGGCGTTAAGCAAAAGTTGGAAACATTCAAGGAGCTTCCTGAACTCTTCCTCTTACTCTTTTTGGATGGCTAAAATGTCAAGTGAGTTCCTAAGTGGGTGTGTCTTTCTTGATGGAAATAAATATGCGTAGAATGTATTCAAAAATAAAACGTGCCAACCAAATGTGGTTCTCAACCTTTTACAAGCCGATTGATCAAGGCCATTCTAATTAAAGATAAATTTGTAAAAAGTATATTCAAGGTTAATTTCCTAGACATTAGATTTAGAATAATACAAGTTTTTATACTTAACTAGTCAGTAGATTAATGCAAAAACCAATGAAAATCAGCCTCTGCATTGAATTTCTTCTTTTCAGTTACTTTTTTTTTTTCCTTCTATGTTTATTATTATTATTGAGTTTTGAAAAGAACTGCTTGGTTCTATTTAACGGGTGATATTTATCATCGTTCCATGTTTTGCACTTTTGGTTATGGTCCTGCAAGGAGAACTTCGTAATTTCGGAAAATTTCAATAGTGCGTTGCAGATTACTTCATCCACTTCCATCTTAATTTAAAATGACACCTGGGCTGTAAAAGAAGTGTTGTCTTTTTTTTTTTTTTCCGGAGACGACAACTGTTGTAAAAGAAGTGTTATCAGGTGTTTCAACTTCGAGGGTTGCATTCAAGAAGTAGATTGGAGATTTGAACCTAAGATATTAATTTTTGGGGACTCAATCAAGACCTCTTTTGCTTTTGTTTACGATGAAATCTGCTAATGCATGTTTAAAATCTTTCATTTGTCAGTTTGCAATTAACTTAGCTTATCCTTCTTTGATGCCTTGATTCGTCTTCTTCCTAATGTATTACTAAAAAAATTTCTTATTTAAAACTGCAGTAGTAACCATTACATGACTTCTTCAGAGGGAACCCACAAAATCTTAGATTATTTAATGATACAAAAGATTACTTATTATAGTAGCGTACGTAATAAATTTGTAAGCCTTATGAGTTTTTGAATATATATATATATATATATATATATATATATATATATATATATATATATATATATATATATATAGAAAGAGAGAAGGGGGGAGGGAGGAGGGCCTAAGTTGAAATGTAGTCCAATATCTTACGTTACTGGAAACTATTATACAATAGCAGTTGAGGACCCTACTGATCGTGCATAATCGGAATATTATTGTACTAGTTTTATTTTTTGTCGATTTTTTTGAGTTTGGAAAAGAAGGATTGTGATTAAAATTAATCCTATAAAAAAGGACTACATTTATCTCTTTTTGGGGATCAATTTTGATTTTCTTAGTACAATCAAAATGCTATATAGCAACAATTTTGAGTTGCACAGATGTTAAAGAAATCCTTTACAAAATTTCCTTTTGTTTATTAATTTTTTTCCCAGTTATGTTACGGAAATCCTCTACGAAATTTCCTTTTGTTCATTCGGACGGTGGACTCTACTAACTGTACTTGAAACATATCAGGTACAAGCTGAATTATATAAACCCCACCAACACCAGAAGTTGTTCTTGAGTGCGTACCATTGATTTATGCATGAAATTGCACAAAAAACATGCATTCAAATTTTCTCAAATGTTTATCCCATCTCAATTATTGGAACTAGTGCTCAATGCACACTCAATGTGTGTGCAATCAAAAAAAATACACAATATTTACGGTCAGATATTTTAAATAAAATTTTTATTACTGAAACAACTTTAATCTTTTAAATATTTTTCATAAAATAATTTTATATTAGTAATTATAATATTTAGGGATAATTATGTTGAAAACATATACTTAAACAACTAAAAGTAAAAATAGTCATGAATAATTATATATAAGTGGTTAAAATAAAAGTAGTTTTTATAAGGGCAAAAAGAAGAAATTCATGAAGTGACAATAAATGTTAACCCCAAACCCCTTAACATTGATAACACACGTGCATAATTATCCTCAAAATTCACTTCTAATCACTATATTGATAAACAAACAAAATAGCCTGTATTTGACAACTAAGGGAAATATACTTGTGTCTTAAATTCTTGATGGAAATGATTTGAGATTGAGAATGCAAATGGCTTCTAATTTCAACTGCACTGGAAGCTGAAGTGTTGACAAAAGTGCAATGATAGAATTAAACTTTTCAGAGCATTCTCCAGACAAACTCCACATGGTTTTCTTTGTCCATGCCGTGCCCTGGCCCCTGCTTCGGTATTGAGAGAAGAAAATTCCTTTTATCCTATAGTGGCTGCAGTTGTTGCCGCATCAAGGCCATACTTTGCTAACAATGGTAAGTTTGTTGCACTTCCCTGCCAAATAACCGAAGGCCAATAGCCATCTCAGATCAGTATGGATTTTTGCGGAAGAGGATGGGTGGAAAAGTCTGAAATCAGAATCATAAATTGATGGGGAATATAACTATAATAGGTTCCTGTTTCAATCACTTGTCCGTTTCCATCTCTTATAGCGGAATTGAAAATAACTTGATACAAAATCGTGGTGTTGATTATTAAGGGTAATTGTCATCAAAGAACCGATAACAAATAAGAATAATTTTTTCTACATGAAATATCACTCTGTCAGAACAACCCACCTGTACTGGTCATGCAAGAAATCATTAATCTCGTCACAAAAAATAAATAGAACAAGAACAAGTAAAACACGTATGCTCTATTACGCATTCATCAGCAAGCTTGTAATTCTCCAGAGAGCAGGAAATTTATCTTCCCTTACGTGACTGACGTTGCGTGTTCGACCCGTGGATTCTTTAATCTTCCCTTACGTGACTGACGTTGCGTGTTCGACCCGTGGATTCTGTAACGGTCAGAATGGTTCAAATCAGGGGTGGGCTCGGGTCGGGTACCCGTCCCATTCACCATTTGGCTGACCCGGCCCGCACATTACGGGTCAGCCATTTTCTGACCCTTACCCGCCCCGCATATCAGCGGGTCGGGTACCCGCTGAGATAGGGTCGAGTCAGCGGGTACCCGTTCCGCCCCATTTATCATTTAATTTTTTTAAAAAAAATAATTTATACCAATTTAATTTTATATTTTACACATTCATCTAAGATTTAATAACCTTTTTTTTTTTCTAAAAAAAGGTTTTCCACCAAGAAACAAGCATGTAAAGAGAATATAAGATAAAGGAAAAAAATTAAAAGAATTCAAAATCAATAAAAGTTTGAAATAAGTAGCACAATTTTTAATATATATGTTCCGCATTAATTAAACTTTTTTCTATAAAGATCATAACCTCTACAAATGAATCTTGTAAATAAACTATAGTACCTCATATTTGTAATGCAATTTGTTCAATAAAATTACTTATTTAGTTCTAATTTATTATTTTATAGTGTGTGTATAAAAATAAAAATAAAAATAAAAAATATATATGTGGGGCGGATCGGGTACCCGCGGGTTTTTAATTATGTGATCCTAACTCGCTCCGCATCTTAGCGGATACCCGACTCTCTTTTGATCCGTCAAATAATAAAAATCGGATATCCTAATTTTCGGATGGGATCGGATCGGATGTGACGGGTTTTCGGGTTAGTGGATAATTTTGCCCACCCCTAGTTCAAATCGTCGCTTTTTTGGCAGTGAATTACCTACTAAATGGTACCTATTCGTCCAAAAGATTGTCTGAATACTTGCATTAGTGTTAAGAAACCTTTTGACCAACACAATTCAAGAGACAGTCATAAGTTTGTGGATAAAAATTGCAACTCTAGATCACTTTATCAATCTCCTCTATAAAAGGTTAAGTAGAAGGTGGTTTGCTGTAGAAAATCACCGTCCTATTACTTAGAATGCTCTACAAAATCAAGTCACAGTTCAAGTAGAGTTTATCCTGTTTAGTGCAAAAGTGAAAAGCAAACAAATTTTAAATTATCCTAAAAGATATTTGTCCAAATTCTTTACGCATAACTTCTAGACAAATAAAGCATAAAGGAAAGTAATCTAGAATCATGATTTGAAGCCATCATTGTATCTTAAACTTGCTTTTGTTTAGCTATTTTCATTTGTAATATCCCTAACAATAATCTGTCAAATATTAATTCATAATGTTGCACTAAATGATCAAGCAACTGCTGTATAGATGATTTACAAGAATTTCACTTGCAATATTGAGACTAGCCAATTTTTTTGTTGACAAGGGAATCTGTAACCGCTGCTCGAGAGTGTGCATTAGATAAATCCTACCTCATATAATAGCCGGCTAACCATACAAAGGGATAAGACGTACTAGGCATGTGCCATACGATGGACAAATGTCTCAGGAGAGACTCAAATTCGGATTGACAAGAAGGCATGCCACCATCTCTGCCAAGAGGCTAACCAATCTTGATTACGTATAAAATAAACATTAACTTAAGCATCGAGTGGCATATGAATTATTGAAGCACAATTCTTGTCACAATATCCATGTTTTTTCCTATTTAGCTTGGCTTATTAGATAGATCAAATTGTAATAGAAACATTTTGTTCTGGACGGACCAGTTACCCTTCCTTACCATAATTGTCAGTATTAACAAACAAAGCTCTTACACAAACAAAGAACCAGAAAGGAGATACAAGTGTCCCAGGAAAAAAAGTTTTATAATCGAATTTTACAAAGCATCGAGACCATCATTAAATATAGAAGTAAAAGCATTCATTTTGGGCTTGAGGAGGGATAGACCAACCTCAACACCTCCATCAGGTTCTCCTCCACCCACAAGAGAAATGCCCCCCGTATCCGTATCACTTGAAACAAACTCAAACCTTATAGGCTTTCCCCACCCAAAATCCAAATCGTAATAATTGAACCTTGGTGAGCCAGCCACCGTTACAACTCTGTCCCAGTTTAAACTCTCAAATTCTTTCGTTTCTGTTTCGGAAGTATTGAAGAGTGCGTCCTTGTCCTTCAATCTCCGATGAATGGCTTCTCGAATTAACTCCACTGCAATAGCAAATCCTTATTCTCCAATCAACTTTGCAGTTTTTTCTTTAGTCCTGCATGATGTTAGACAATTTCCAAAGTAGTTGGCAGGTAAAGGTGGATCCGAACGCCCTCGACAATTAGCAAGGCAAATAAAATGTTCCATTTCTTCTTCATCTGCACGTTCTCCGCTTGGACCATTACATTTTAGTAGACATACCCAAACATAGGTACAAATTACTGTGAATGATGATAAATGAACTAAATTTTGCCGTTTTTGCAATCATGGTTCGCCGTCGCGAATCGCAGTTGCGGTTGTTCCACATCCATTGACAGGTGTCGAACCTGTGTAATAATAATAATAATAAATCTAACTACCACCAAAGCAGTCAATAATTAATTCTAGGTACTGGAGTAGGGACTCTAAGTGTGCAATGGGTTACTTGATTTACCCTGTTCCCGAAGAGTTTGCTTAATCCAATAGAGAAAAATGCAATTTTGGTACCTAAACTTTGACGCACGAGCGGTTTTAGTCCCCAAATTTTGGACGAAAACAAATTTGGTACCCGAACTTTCAAATTTTGAGCACATTAAGTACCCTTGACGATTTTTTCCCAAATTGTTACCGGAAAAAGCCATGTGACTGTCACGTGTCCGGCCAAAATGGAATTAAAAAAGGTCAAAAATGCAGTTTTGGTACCTAAACTTTGACGCACGAGCGGTTTTAGTCCCCAAATTTTGGACGAAAACAAATTTGGTACCCGAACTTTCAAATTTTGAGCACATTAAGTACCCTTGACGATTTTTTCCCAAATTATTATCGAAAAAAGCCATATGACAGTCACGTGTCCGGCCACAATTGTATAAAAAAAGGCCCAAAAAATATCAAATGCCATTCTAATACTAAGTATTAGATTTAAGGACTAATAGCGTAATAAAGAAAAAATCCAAGGACTAAATAACATCACATGAGTCAACAAAACCCAAGAACCGATACAAATGAGCTCCAATTCCAGTACATTAATCTAAGAATCAAGTCACAAAATTTGTCTGGAATTGGAGCTCATTTGTATCGGTTCTTGGGTTTTGTTGACTCATGTGATGTTATTTAGTCCTTGGATTTTTTCTTTATTACGCTATTAGTCCTTAAATCTAATACTTAGTATTAGAATGGCATTTGATATTTTTTGGGCCTTTTTTTATACAATTGTGGCCGGACACGTGACTGTCATATGGCTTTTTTCGATAATAATTTGGGAAAAAATCGTCAAGGGTACTTAATGTGCTCAAAATTTGAAAGTTCAGGTACCAAATTTGTTTTCGTCCAAAATTTGGGGACTAAAACCGCTCGTGCGTCAAAGTTTAGGTACCAAAACTGCATTTTTGACCTTTTTTTATTCCATTTTGGCCGGACACGTGACAGTCACATGGCTTTTTCCGGTAACAATTTGGGAAAAAATCGTCAAGGGTACTTAATGTGCTCAAAATTTGAAAGTTCGGGTACCAAATTTGTTTTCGTCCAAAATTTGGGGACTAAAACCGCTCGTGCGTCAAAGTTTAGGTACCAAAATTGCATTTTTCTCTAATCCAATATACCAGAATTAATTAGTTGACAAACTTTACTAACAAGTAGACAGTGACAAGTAGGGTCGTCTCCTCAGGGACTGGGGATATTTGTCTCTTTGAAGTTCCAATTGACAATGGGAGGTTTTATCGGAGTAAAACTAAAAATAATTAAGCAATTCAACTAAAAACGAATAATTAACTAGCACGAATGTAGATAGAAATTAAATCAAGAATAGATAAATTCTAGCCAAAGATACAACTACTCAAACACAGTCCATTCATCCGATTATTGATGCAAGGGAGGTTCACTTAATTTATTAATAGGTTAGTTATAGTCGCTGACGGGCTCTGACGACTAATTTTTTCTTAATTTATTGATAACCAAGGTACAACCACTGATTATCCCTAACCAAAGAATACTCCTAGGTACGACCGTAGAAATTAATTTTCCAATTGCATAAAAAACTAGAAAAATCTAACCCCAACCAATAACACGCTACGAGGGTTATTTATATTGGATTGCACGTTTCCCTAGTGTGTAAAAATGCTAGTTGCCATTAATATTAATCGATTAAACAATTACGGATTTAATTGATTAATTTGACAGGAGATCAATAAGTCACATTGAACATCGGGCCCTTGACATCCAATTAACAAAACAATCCCATGAAAATTCAAGTAGAAAACGTGCAAATATTAACAAATTAGAAACGCATGAAAATTAATTAGATTTCACAGATATTCGGGACTACGCCGTCGCGTCGATTCTTGACTAGGTGAAAAGCTTAGCCACGCCTCATGAGAAAATCTCCACATAATTTAATTGATTCGCAAGGCATCACGTTTTTCACTAAATAATCAAGAAGTGAACGATGTTTCTCCAGTGGGGAATAAAGCCGAACAGTCGGCACGCATGAACAGGAGAAGAAAAGAAAACTAAACTGTATCTAAACAATGACTAATGCCCTGCTACGTGGTCCCTGCCGAATTGAGAAGAAAAAGTACAAAAACTGAGGCTTTGCCAAATTTCCTCCTTTTTCGTCTTTGATTGCTCCTAGGACTCCTAGTACTCAAGACACTCATAATCAGCAAAAAGGAAATGCAATCCGTCTGTATCATCATGTGGGCCAGGTTTGTGGATTATTTGAAGTCCCCTACGCGTGGAGGAATTTTCTTCAAAAGGTCCCTCCTTTTTAGCCTTTTTCAGTTTCACCTCCTGTAGATAGGTCCAAATACCAAATATAAGTATATGTTAACAATTAAGCAATATTTGGCAAGGACAAAGAGGAAAATTAATATTAAATTTACTAACAATTAACACCCTATCAATTCCCCCCATATCTAAATCATGCTTGCCCTCAAACATGAGAACAACAATCAAATACCAAAATTTGACAATGGTTATTGCTCCAACTATCGTATTGCCAAGATACCAAGAAAAATATATATCAAGCATCAATGGTCAAGATCCAAGAAACGTCACCCCAGTTAGCTTCTAAACCACTAACTCCTCCAAATTAAGGCAAACTAATCTAGAAAAAGGAATGGTTGCTCAACATTCATCAGCAAATGGTCCAACTATTAACCAGAATCTCAACATTAAATTCACAAATCGGCAAGTTGACTTTTTCACATACTAACACAATCTTTACCTTTTTTATCACGTTTTCTATTTTTCTCTTTTTTTTCGATAGTAACAAAAGACTTAGTCTCTAGCTAATTGAGCATTTTGACACGAACTCTAACACTTGTCAGATGAAGGAGTCCGGTTACTCAACTCCTATCGCTATATAACCACGTATTCATAGCAACTACTATTTTTTTGATTCGAGAATCGACACTTTAGGTGAAGATCCTCGGTTACTCAGTAGTAACAACTAGCGGAGCAAAGTCAACTTTTATTCACAACCAAATAACACAATAACTCAAAATAATACAGCAAAAACGCAAAATAGCAGCAGCTAGCCTCATTTCTTCAAACATGGAGAACTAAAGTTAATAACCAGATCAATTCACATGAAAATGCCAACAATCATTCCCTATGCCTAGAAAAGTTAACCAGAAAGTAGAAGAGTCAAGCAATTACTGATATTCACCAAAGAGATGTTCCTGAACTCAACCACATTAATTTGATACCCTTTTATTACTAAAACTCGGCAATAGCAGAATTAGAAACAACAACCCAATATCAAAACTTGGTATTCATATAAGAACTAATCACTAAAAAAAAAAATAATAATAAATGAAAGGTAGACGAAAACAAGTTAAAAATAAAAGAAAAACCTCTAGAAACTAAAAACTGAAAAAACTAGCACCATAACTGATCTCCCCCTACACCTAAATGACACATTGTTCTCAATGTGACAAATAAACAATAATAGCAAGAAGAAGGGCAACGAGACTTCCCTGAAGTCGTCAAAACAGTGGCGGGTTAGGTGGAAATTGAGGAGCAAGGCCCGCATGGTGCATAAATGCTGTCAAATTCTGCGCCATGTTATGCACGTTGACGTCAATGTGGGTCATCCGAGTCTCTAGTCTCTCAACTCGCAGCTGGAGCTGGTTCCATTTGTCAGCCCCTGGGGTAGGAAGAGGCAGAGCGGAAGTGCAGTGGTGGCGCATGATAGGTGCAGTTGCCGAAGGGAGAGAGAGGGTGTGGCGCGGCGTGGGTGGCGTGGCGCGCGAGGGGATGGTGGCGGCAGTGAAAAGGGTTCGGCCGAAAAAGAAAAGAGGGAAAGGGAATTGGGGAAGAAGAGAGAAAAAAAAGAGGAAGAAAGAAAGAAAAAGAAGAAAAAGGAAAAAAATAATTTTTGGGGAGGTTTTTTTTGAATTAAAATTTTTTTAAAAATGTTAATTTTGAACAACAAAACTGAAGGTTAAAACAGAAAATATTTTTATTTTTTATCTTTCTAATTTTTTTTAATTAAAAAATTTTTTCTTTTATTTTTGGGTCGTCAAACACGGCGTGGGCACGTCAAGATTATAAAACGTCCACTGATCTTGGAAGTCACTGATACGGCGTGGGCACGTCAAGATTCCACTTCCTGCTAACGTCATGAGATGTTGAGATTTTACCAACATGGTGTGGGCACGCCAAGATTGGAAAATGTCCACTGACCATGAGGTTGGGGTTTAGATGATTAATGTGTGCCCTACTCGCGTGGGCATGCCAAGATTACCTGTCCCGGTCACAGTAGACAAAAATATCAAGATCGACTAGTATCTAAGTGAGAAACGACAAATTGAAAGAATTGAACAACAAAAAATAACAAAATCAATATTTGGATTGCCTCCCAAAGAGCGCCTTTCTTTAACGTCTTTGGTAAGACGTTGCCATATTTATTTACGGAGGATAAAATCGTGTAACTCGTTTCAGTACTTCATCTTCTATGTAGTCCTGATAACTCTCGTAAATAGAGTAATTTTTGAGCACACGAGCTACGGTCTTCCATGGATTAATAGATGGCGCCAAACAAGTCAACAATAATCTGACTTCTCCACTCACTTCTCCATCAAGCACATTTATTGGTTAGATATTTTGCTATTGCCACTCTTAACTTATTCCTGTCATGAAATTTAAAATTTTCTGGTATAATAAAGTCA